GGAGAGGGGAACGGGGAACGGGGTCAGAGCTACGGGAATCAGGGAGCGGGGAAAGGGGAGCGGGAAACAAGGTGCGGGAATCGGGGAAAGGGGAGCGGGGAGAGGGGAAAGGGGAGCGGGGAAAGGGGAGCGGGAAACGGAGAGCGGGGAACGGGGTCAGAGCTGCGGGGAACGGGAAACGGGGTGCGGGAAAAGGGGAACGGGGTGCGGGAATCGGGGAAAGGGGAGCGGGGAGAGGGGAACGGGGAAAGGGGAACGGGGAGCGGGGTCAGAGCTACGGGAAACGGGAATCGGGGAGCGGGAATCGGGGAAAGGGGAACGGGGAAAGGGGAACGGGAAACGGGGTGCGGGAATCGGGGAAAGGGGAACGGCGAGCGGGGAACGGGGAAAGGGGAGCGGGAAATGGGGTGCGGGGAACCGGCTCAAAGCTCCGGGGAACGGGAAACGGGGTGCGGGAAAAGGGGAACGGGGAGCGGGGAAAGGGGAATGGGATGCGGGAATCGGGGTGAGGGATGCGGGAATCGGGGAACGGGGAAAGGGGAGCGGGGTCAAAGCTACGGGGAACGGGAATCGGGGAAAGGGGAAAGGGGAATGGGGTGCGGGGAACAGGAATCGGGCTCAGAGCTGCGGGGAACGGGGAAAGGGATACGGGGAAAGGGGAGCGGGGAAAGGGGAGCGGGGTGCGGGAATCGGGCTCAGAGTTGCGGGGAACAGAGAACGGGGGTCAAAGCTGCAGGGAATGGGGAGCGGGGAAAGGGGGGCGGGGTGCGGGAATCGGGCTCAGAGTTGCGGGGAACAGAGAACGGGGGTCAAAGCTGCAGGGAATGGGGTGCGGGGAAAGGGGAACGGGCTCGGAGCTGCGGGGAACGGAGAACGGGGTGCGGAGTGCGGGGAACGGGGTGCGGGAATCGGGGAATGGGGTGCCAGGAACAGGGAAAGGGGTGCAGGGAATGGGGAACGGGGAACGGGCTCAGAGCTGCGGGGAACGGGATGCGGGGAACCGGCCCAGAGTGCGGGGAACGGGCTCAGAGCTGCGGGGAACGGGCTCAGAGCTGAGGGGAACGGGCTCAGAGCTGCGGGGAACGGGCCTGGAACGCCCCCGGGGTGCGGGAGTTGGGGATTTTGGGCCGCAGCTCCCCCAAAACTCAGCCCCGTGTCCCGCAGGACGCGCCGGGGGCCGGGGATGGCGCCGAGAGGGAGAAGGCGGTGGGAGAAGGTGGGGACAAGGACAAGGACAAGGAGGAGAAGGAGGACAGGGAGAAGGAGAAGGAGGAAGAGGAGGCTTTCCTCGTCAGCCTCTACAAGTTCATGAAGGAGCGGCGCACGCCCATCGAGAGGATCCCGCACCTCGGCTTCAAGCAGAGTATGTCACCCTGCCCCGGGGACAGCGACAGGGACAGGGACAGGGGGTGGTGGCCGTGTCCCCCTGACCCTCAGCATCTCCCCTCCGTTCCCAGTTAACCTCTGGAAGATCTACAAGGCCGTGGAGAAGCTGGGGGCCTACGAGCTGGTGAGTGCTGGCCGTGGGAGCCGGGCTGGCCCCTGGGCGTGCGGGGGTCCCCCGGGGTGCTGGGGTGTCCCTGGAGTGTCCCCGGGGTGTCCCCCTGTGTCCTGGGGTGTCCCCGGGGTCCCGGGGTGTCCCCGGGGTGCTCGGAGGTCTTCGGGGTGCTGGGGTGTCCCCCAGGGTCCTGAGATGTCCCCCAAGGTTCTGGGGTGTTCCTGGGGTGCTGGGGTGTCCCTTGTGTCCCAGGATGTCCCCAAGGTCCCTGAATGTCCCCCCATGGTCCCGCGATGTCCCCCCGGGGTCCCGGGATGTCCCGCCGGGGTCCCGGGATGTCTCCAGGGTCCCTGAATGTCCCCAAGGTCTTGGGATGTCCCAAGGTCCCGGCATATCCCTGGGATGTCCCCCCAAGGTCCCGGGATGTCCCCCCGTGGTCCCGGGATGTCCCCCCGGGGTCCCGGGGCTCACCCCTCGCCCCCCCCGCCGCAGGTGACGGGCCGCCGGCTCTGGAAGAACGTGTACGACGAGCTCGGGGGCAGCCCCGGCAGCACCAGCGCCGCCACCTGCACCCGGCGCCACTACGAGAGGTGGGGCCGGGCCGGGCCGGGCCGGGCCGGGGGGGCTGTCCCGCCGCGTGCCTCAGTTTCCCCCGGCGCTCAGCGCGCTCTCCCCGCTCGCTCCGCAGGCTCGTCCTTCCCTACGTGCGGCACCTGAAGGGCGAGGAGGACAAACCGCTGCCCCCCAGCAAGCCCCGGCGGCAGTACAAGGTGTCCAAGGACGACAGGAGCAAGAGGAGCAGGAAGGAGAAGGGACGCGAGCAGGTTCGCGGCCCCTCCGGAGGGGCTGGGAGCGACCCCCGAGCGCTGAACCCGGCCGGGAATTGGGAGCGGGGGGTGGTGAGAGGGCAGCCAGGGCTGGGCGGGGAGCCGGGAGCCCACCCTGGGCTCACAGCCGGACCCCCTGGGCTCACAGCCCGACCCCCTCCGCTCACAGCCCGACCCCCTCCGCTCACAGCCCGACCCCCTCCGCTCGCAGCTGGCTCCGGACAAGGCGCAGCCGGAGGCGGAGGAAGCGGCGGAGCCGGCCCGGGGGACAGACGGACGCTCCAGCCCCGCCAGCCCGGCCCCCAACCCCTCGGGGGGCTCTCCCAGCCCCTGCCGGACCCACGGCGAGACCTACAAGCGCCTCTTCTCCAGCTTCTACTCCAAAGGGAACCATCCCATCATGTCCCCGCTGGCCAAGAAGAAGCTGCTGGCGCAGGTGAGCAAGGCCGAGTCCTCGCACTGCCACAAACGCCACTGCCCCGAGGGCCGGCGGGCACCGAGCGACACCGGCCCCGAGCCGCCCCCGAGCGGGCAGAGCCTCCCCGAGCCCCCGGAGCCTTCGGGAACCCCGAGCGGGGGGAAGGAGGCGGCCCCGGCCCGCAGCGCATCCCCGGGCGGCGGAGACACCCAGGGCACCCCCGTCTTCACCGGCTACTTCCACGCCTACCGCAGCGAGGGGCTGCAGCCCGGCTGCCCCCCGCTCTGGGGGGATTTCTCCAGCCTGAAGGATTTTTTGGAGCCGCCTTCCACCTTCCCTGGGCGGCCCGAGGAGCCCGAGCAGCCGCAAGAGGCGCGGGGCAGAGCGGGGCGGCCGTGGCAGAGCCGGGCAGCGGTGCGGGGCTGCTGGGTGCCCCCCGGGAGCGGCCGCCAGGACGAGGAGGAGGATGAAGATGAGGATGAGGAAGACGAGGAGAGCTTCGGCCCCGCCGCCGAGTCACGCTCCGCGTCCCCCTTGGCCAAGGAGGGCAGGGACCGGCGGATCCGCTCGCCCGGAGGCCACCGGGGGCTGCCCAAACCCAGAGCCGTGGTGGCCGCTCCGGCTCTCCGGGGATCCGCTCTGCGCTTCCCCAGCGGCTTCGGGACCCCCCTGGAGCCCCCAAAAACCCGGGGGGCTCCTCTGCTCATCCCGGCCTTCCCCAGCCCCTTGGTGGCTCCGTTCCCCGCTTCCTTCGGGAATTCCTTCCCGGCTTTCCCGGCCTTCCCCCGGCGCTAGCTGCCACCCCCGGGGACACGGAGGGGACACGAGGGGACAATCGGGACTGGGCTGTTTTTATTCTGATTTCAGAGCTCTTTGTAACCCGGCGCCGGTGAAGCAGCGGCTCCGCTGCCGGCGCCCCACGGTTCTTTCTATTTTCTTATCTATCCGCGCACAAATGGATAAAAACCGGGAGTGAAAGCGGTGCTGGAGGTTTCTGTTCCTGCCCCGAGTGCGGGGTTTGGGGGTGCAGGAGGTTGGAAAAGGGGAATGAAGCCGGCGGGGTTCTGGGGGCAGGGCGGGGTTTGGGGGGATCCCCACCCTAAAAACGGAGCTGCAGGGCTGAGAACTCATCCCGGGGAGGAGGGAAAGGGATGAGGGAAGGGATTTGGGAATTTAGGATTTTTTAGGAGTTCAGGGAGGAACTGAGGAAGGAATTTAGGAATTGAATTTAGGAATTTAGGAAGGAAGGAATTTAGGAATTTAGGAAGGAATTTAGGAATTTAGGAATTTAGGAATTTAGGAAGGAAGGAAGGAATTTAGGAAGGAATTTAGGAATTCAGGAAGGAATTTAGGAAGGAATTGAATTTAGGAAGGAATTTAGGAAGGAAGGAATTAAGGAAGGAATGAAGGAAGGAATGAAGGAATTTAGGAATTCAGGAATTCAGGAAGGAATTCAGGAATTCAGGAAGGAATTCAGGAATTCAGGAAGGAATTCAGGAATTCAGGAAGGAATTCAGGAATTCAGGAATTCAGGAAGGAATCAAGGAATCTTCCCCCAGGGAATGTTTGGATTTTGGGGGGCTCTGATGATCCCAGCCAGGAGATTCCAGGATTTTCTGATCATTTTCAAAATTCAAACTCCCGAAATCCACCCTCAACAAAATCCACCCTCAATAAAATCCACCTTCAACAAAATCCACCCTCAACAAAATCCACCTTCAACAAAATCCACCCTCAACAAAATCCACCTTCAACAAAATCCACCCTCAATAAAATCCACCTTCAACAAAATCCACCCTCAACAAAATCCACCCTCAACAAAATCCACCCTCAATAAAATCCACCCTCAACAAAATCCACGGCCACAGACTCAGTCCAAAAACACGACAAAATTAAAGAAATTGCACATATTTATATAAAAAAAGGAAGTTTTTATTAAACAGCAACAAATCCAGAAAAACTCCGCCCTTTTCCCACCCCCAGGAATGCTGGGGGGGGTCCCAGAGCTGCTGGACAGTCCCAGCGTTGTCCCCAAAGTGTCCCCGAGGGTCCCTGGGCTGGGCTGGGGGTCCTGGAGGGTCATGGTGGCCACCTCGAGCTCCTGGTGGCCACCTCGAGCTCCTGGTGGTCACTGTGGAGAGGGGACAGGGGTCAGCAGGTCCTGGTGGCCACCCTGGGCTCGTGGTGGTCACTCTGGAGAGGAGACAGGGGTCAGAGGGTCCTGGTGACCACCCTGGGCTCCTGGTGACCACCCTGGGCTCCTGGTGGTCACTCTGGAGAAGGGACAGGGGTCAGCAGACCCTGGTGACCACCCTGGGCTCGTGGTGACCACCCCGGGCTCGTGGTGACCACCCTGAGCTCCTGGTGACCACCCCGGGCTCCTGATGGCCACCCTGGGCTCGTGGTGACCACCCCGGGCTCCTGATGACCACCCTGGGCTTGTGGTGGTCACTGTGGAGAGGAGACAGGGGTGGACAGGGGTCAGCAGGTCCTGGTGGCCACCCTGAGCTCCTGGTGACCACCCTGGGCTCCTGGTGGCCACCCCGAGCTCCTGGTGACCACCCTGGGCTCGTGGTGGTCACTGTGGAGAGGGGACAGGGGTCAGAAGGTCCTGGTGACCACCCTGAGCTCGTGGTGACCACCCCGGGCTCCTGATGACCACCCCGAGCTCCTGGTGGCCACCCCGGGCTCCTGATGACCACCCTGGGCTCCTGGTGACCACTCTGGAGAGGAGACAGGGGTCAGAGGGTCCTGGTGACCACCCTGAGCTCCTGGTGGCCACCCTGGGCTCCTGGTGGTCACTCTGGAGAAGGGACAGGGGTCAGCAGACCCTGGTGACCACCCCAAGCTCCTGGTGACCACCCCGGGCTCGTGGTGACCACCCTGAGCTCCTTGTGACCACCCCAAGCTCCTGATGACCACCCTGGGCTCGTGGTGGTCACTCTGGAGAGGAGACAGGGGTCAGAGGGTCCTGGTGACCACCCCAAGCTCCTGGTGGCCACCCTGGGCTCGTGGTGGTCACTGTGGAAAAGGGACAGGGGTGGACAGGGGTCAGCAGGTCCTGGTGACCACCCTGAGCTCCTGGTGGCCACCCTGGGCTCCTGGTGGTCACTGTGGAGAGGGGACAGGGGTCAGAGGGTCCTGGTGGCCACCCCTAGCTCCTTGTGACCACCCTGAGCTCCTTGTGACCACCCCGAGCTCCTGGTGGCCACCCTGAGCTCCTGGTGACCACCCCGGGCTCGTGGTGACCACCCTGAGCTCCTGGTGGTCACTGTGGAGAGGGGACAGGGGTGGACAGGGGTCAGCAGGTCCTGGTGGCCACCCCAGGTGTCCCCAGGTGTGGTTTTAAAGCAATAAATAAAGAAATCATTAAATATTCACAGATTGATTTCACTTTTCAATGGTCAAAATTCACTGCCAAGTCTCAGAAATGGCCAATTTAATTAAATATATTGATATAAAAAGCGGGAAATTGGGAATTTCCGTGTCCCAAAGTGTCCCAAAGTGTCCCAAAGTGTCCCAAAGCCACCCCAGGTGTGTCCCCAGCTCACCTGGGGGCCCTGGGGCTGCTCCTCCAGCGGCGGCTGCAGCGCCTGGCTCAGGCTGCCCACGCGGCCGGGCTGTCCCCGCAGCGTCACCGTGATGGTGGTGGGAGCCTTCAGCCCTGCAGGACACCCCGAAAACAACACCCTGAGACACCCTGCGAGGCGGGGGGTGACACCCAGGTGGGAAACAACAGCCCAGGGAGCAGGAGGAGCTTTGGGGATGGTTCCAGATCGAGTTTGAGATGGGAAACAACAGCCCAAGGAACAGGAGGAGCTCTGGGGATGGTCCCAGTTCAGGTTGAGGTGGGAAAGAACAACCCAGGGTACAGGAGGAGCTCTGGGGATGATCACAGCCCCAGTTCTGAGGTGGAAACAACCCAGGAGGAGCTTTGGGGATGCTCGAGGTGGGAATCAACAGCCCAGGGAGCAGGAGCAGTTCTGGGAACCCTCCCAGCCTGAGTTTGAGGTGGGAAAGAACAGCCCAAGGAACAGGAAGAGCTTTGGGGATGATCACAGCCCCAGTTCTGAGGTGGAAACAACCCAGGAGGAGCTTTGGGGATGCTCGAGGTGGGAATCAACAGCCCAGGGAGCAGGAGCAGTTCTGGGAACCCTCCCAGCCTGAGTTTGAGGTGGAAACAACCCAGGAGGAGCTTTGGGGACCCTCCCAGAGTTCTGAGGTGGGAAAGAACAGCCCAGGGAGCTGGAGGAGCTTTGAGGACATTCCCAGATCGAGTTTGAGGTGGGAAAGAACAGCCCAGGGAGCTGGAGGAGCTTTGAGGACATTCCCAGATCGAGTTTGAGGTGGGAAAGAACAGCCCAGGGAGCTGGAGGAGCTTTGAGGACATTCCCAGATCGAGTTTGAGGTGGGAAAGAACAGCCCAGGGAGCTGGAGGAGCTTTGAGGACATTCCCAGATCGAGTTTGAGGTGGGAAAGAACAGCCCAGGGAGCTGGAGGAGCTTTGAGGACATTCCCAGATCGAGTTTGAGGTGGGAAAGAACAGCCCAGGGAGCTGGAGGAGCTTTGAGGACATTCCCAGATCGAGTTTGAGGTGGGAAAGAACAGCCCAGGGAGCTGGAGGAGCTTTGAGGACATTCCCAGATCGAGTTTGAGGTGGGAAAGAACAACCCAAGGAACAGGAGGAGCTCTGGGGATGATCACAGCCCCAGTTCGGAGGTGGGAATCAACCCAGGAGGAGCTCTGGGGACATTCCCAGAGTTCTGAGGTGGGAAAAAACAACCCAGGGAGCTGGAGGAGCTCTGGGGATGATCACAGCCCCAGTTCGGAGGTGGGAATCAACCCAGGAGGAGCTTTGGGGATGTTCCCAAAGTTCTGAGGTGGGAATCAACAGCCCAGGGAACAGGAGGAGCTCTGGGGATGGTCCCAGCCTGAGTTTGAGGTGGGAAAGAACAGCCCAAGGAACAGGAGGAGCTCTGGGGATGATCACAGCCCCAGTTTGGAGGTGGAAACAACCCAGGAGGAGCTTTGGGGACATTCCCAGAGTTCTGAGGTGGGAATCAACAGCCCAGGGAGCAGGAGGAGCTCTGGGGATGCTCTGAGCTCGGGCTCCAAGGTGGGAATCAACACCCCAAGGAGCAGGAGGAGCCCTGGGGACCCTCCCAGAGTTCTGAGGTAGGAAAGAACAGCCCAGGGAGCTGGAGGAGCTCTGGGAACATTCCCAGCCTGAGTTTGAGGTGGAAACAACAACCCAGGGAGCAGGAGGAGCTCTGGGGATGGTTCCAGATCAAGTTCTGAGGTGGGAAACAACAACTCAGGGGGCAGGAGGAGCTTTGGGAACTCTCCCAGAGTTCTGAGGTGGGAAACAACAGCCCAGGAGGAGCTTTGGGGATGCTCGAGGTGGGAAAGAACAGCCCAGGGAACAGGAGGAGCTCTGGGGATGATCACAGTTCAGGTTGAGGTGGGAAAGAACAGCCCAAGGAGCAGGAGGAGCTCTGGGGATGATCACAGCCCCAGTTTGGAGGTGGAAACAACCCAGGAGGAGCTTTGGGGACATTCCCAGAGTTCTGAGGTGGGAATCAACAGCCCAGGGAGCAGGAGGAGCTCTGGGGATGCTCTGAGCTCGGGCTCCAAGGTGGGAATCAACACCCCAAGGAGCAGGAGGAGCCCTGGGGACCCTCCCAGAGTTCTGAGGTAGGAAAGAACAGCCCAGGGAGCTGGAGGAGCTCTGGGAACATTCCCAGCCTGAGTTTGAGGTGGAAACAACAACCCAGGGAGCAGGAGGAGCTCTGGGGATGGTTCCAGATC